TTTTTACTTTACTTTTAGGGGCCTCGGGGAAATATTGGTGGTCTAAACAGACCCCTGAAATTTCCCTTTTTAAAATAGAAAAAGAGATTGAGAACACAGAGTCCTCAATCTCTTTTTCTGTGTCCCCTGTTATCAATGAACAGGGGAGAAAAGAAACCAGGGATGCGCCGATGTATCGGCCGAAACATGGCTCTTTCGGCATTATGTCAAAAGTGCCATTTTCGGCCGATATATCGGTGCATCCCTAATTATAACATTGAAAAGCGTTAATACCACAGGCGCCAGCACCAATACCTGTGTAGAAAAAGTGTAATGATGTACTCTGGAGGCTGCTCACGCTGGTCTGGGGTAGCCACAAGGACTGAAATAAAAAGGAAAAGAGAGCGCCTCCATCGTGTAAAACCGTTTTATTATGACAATATAAAAAGAGTAAAAAACATACTCACAAAGGAACTTGAGTAAACATGCATATAATGTGTATCGGTAAACACAGACACCGAGATCGTGAGGCTCCAACACAGCCGACAAACTGCATAGCCCTCTTGGCTGACGCATTTCGGAGGACACGCCTTCTTCCTCAGAACCAAGGAAGGAGGTTCTGAGGAAGGATAGCCCTCTTGGTTGACGCGTTTTCGGAGGACACGCCTCCTTCCTCAGAACCAAGAAAGGAAACTTCTGAGGAAGGAGGCGTGTCCTCTGAAACGCCTCCTTGTATGTTTTTTACTCCTTTTATATCGACATTATAAAATTGTCCCACTGAATTTGTAATTGTGTCGTTCAACCAAAAGAGATATTTGATGTGACTCGTTGTTTATTCATTCTTGCTGTTCCATATTGCCACAGAGGTATTTCATGTACAGATTTGGAGATTCTGGTGGAGAAGGCTGCAGAGCCCACCATAGAGATATATCAAAATCCCTTGATGGGAGGGTTTCCGTCCAGAGGAGTAGGTGTTACTAGGCAGGCTGCATTTGCATCTGGAACGCCCTAGGTTAAGCCCACTCCATGATGCTGAGCCTCCATGACTGAAAGAACTAAAAATCAATGAATGAAAGGGGCGGGCCAGGGACAGTCAGGCTGGGGAGGAAAGGGTTAGATGATGCTGCCAGGAAATGAGGCGGGCTCTATGTGACTTGCTGCAGCTTCTAATGCACATTGTGAGGAGCTCGCAGTGTGCAGTGACATCGGAGTGAGGAGAGAAGAGGAGGCGGTACAACTGTGCAAGACTTAGGGGAAGGCCGGAGTTCAGATTTCTGTAGTTCAATGCAGCCTTGTTCCAGGATGGCCCCATGCATGCTTCTGGGTGGGTCTGCTTCCTCTGGTTACATGATACTTGTTGTAAAAATGTCTTTGTCCCTGTGTGAGAGATGGCGCAGTGGGCGGCGATGTGAATACCTGGCTGCGGTCTCGCATGTGTCAGCACTATGTAGTACTGTACTAGAGCCTGCCTGATTGGAGACAGATTTAGGGGATAGGTTAGGTAGGTCCTCATATTACAACATTTTGGTGAATCTACATTTGATTGCACAGAGATTGTACGGTCAGTGTGTATGGTGGCCCTTAGAGGGACAGTGGATCTCATGTCTACCTGGATGATGATTGTCAGTGGTGGAATGGCTTTGGTCTGCCCCACCTTGCCTACAATATCTCATCCACTTCCTTCCCCCATATATAACTCATGGCCAGTGGCGTCACAAGGGGGGTGAGGCCCGCACCCGGGTGACACAATTGGAGGGGTGACACCAAAATGACAGTCATTTTGGTGTAAACCCCCCACCCCTGAAAAATCATGCGCTCGGTCATGGACCGAACGCCCAACAGTATCAGGAGAGAGGGAAGGGGACCCGTGTGACTGTCCCCTCCTCTCTCTGCCGGCGTCCATCACCAAGATGGCCGCCTGCAGGTATCAGAAGATCACCGGCGACGTCTCGGCGAGTGGCCGGGGTGACACCCGGTAACCGCTCCAGGTGTCACCCAGCCTCGGGACGCCCCTACTCATGGCCACATAGGCTTGCCACCTTTCCTTCCATCAAAAACCCGAACGCTAGCAAAAACGCACGGACATTTTTTGGGGGGAATGAATCGTGGCTTATTCATATGTAAATAGCACAGTTGAGACTATTTTCAGTGGGGGGCCAGTAGCCCCTATCTTAATTTTGGCTGCCCCTGTCTGCCTGACATCTTGTGTCCAGGTTTCAGCTGCCATGAAACCCAAACACAGCATTCAAAACCCGGACTGTCCGAGTGATTCCTGGACTGGTAGCAACCCTATGGCCACCCTCCAGTCTCCATTGATTACCCCCAGGAGCACCGTTCCAGAGACCCTCGAAGTGTCGTCTGCTCCATCCAGGGAGATCCGTCTACGAGATGAGAAAATCGATGTGCAGTTTATGGCAATCTGCAAACCATCTCATTGTGAATTTTGTGTTCTCCCGAATATACTGTAAGAGCGCAGATTGTCCAGTCCACGAAGATCGGACAATTCATCGTGTGTGGTCCTGAACGGCACAATTCCTGGCAAATCCAACTGAAAATCCCCAATGTGGGAAATTACGACATTTGTGGTGTACAGAACTAAATCCACAGGTTGTTAGTTCTTTTTTAACGCATTTAAGAACCTGCGACTGCCATTTAGCAACCTGGGACTGCCATTTAGAAAACTTCGACTGCAATTTAGGAAACTTCAACTGCCATTTAGCAACCTGCGACTGTCATTTAGAAACCTGCGACTGCCATTTAGCAACCTGCGACTGCCATTTAGAAACCTGCGACTGCAATTTAGCAACCTGCGACTATCATTTAGCAACCTGCGACTGTCATTTAGCAACCTGCGACTGTCACTTAGCAACCTGCAACTGCCATTTAGAAACCTGCGACTGCCATTTAGAAACCTGCGACTGCCATTTAGCAACCTGCGACTGTCATTTAGAAACCTGCGACTGCCATTTAGCAACCTGCGACTGCCATTTAGCAACCTGCGACTGCCATTTAGCAACCTTCGACTGCCATTTAGCAACCTGCGACTGACATTTAGCAACCTCCAACTGCCATTTAGCAACCTGCGACTGCAATTTAGCAACCTGTGACTGTCACTTAGCAACCTCCAACTGCCATTTAGCAACCTGCGACTGCAATTTAGCAACCTGTGACTGTCACTTAGCAACCTCCAACTGCCATTTAGCAACCTGCGACTGCAATTTAGCAACCTGTGACTGTCACTTAGCAACCTTCAACTGCCATTTAGCAACCTGCGACTGTTACTTAGCAACCTGCGACTGCCATTTAGCAGGTTCTGGGAGACTTCCAGTTACATTTTTTCCAGCTCTTTGTTAACTACCTAACCCCCCCCCCCCCCCCCTCCACAATAGTATGGAGATAAGGAAAAGGGGAGGTTTTCTGTAGTCATGCTCCAAGGTGACCACACTTTGTCGGGAACCAGAGCACCTGCTGGTGCTGAGGATCATATGAAGTATTTCTTTCCTATTTATCTTTAACTCCATCTAGTGGCCATAATGTGGTATTACCTTCATTCACTCTAATCTGATGAAACACATCCAACCTGGGAATGAAATATACTAATAACATTCGTTTTTGCCCCTCTTCACACACAGCGAATGTACATGCAGCTTTGCAGGATGAATGGCTCTGCAGATTTTATAAATGCGCCCCTGTAGTGCCTATAAACTCCAACAATGATCTCTTATTTTATCCCTTTTGGTCTGATAAATAATAATACACCACTGAAAGTGTTTTGTTATATCTGCTCAATAAGTGCAAGGAAAAAAAATACCTGTTGATCTTGCCAGAAATCTTGTGATCTGGTAACTTCCCCTGCTCTCTGCCCGTGCTGCACTTTTATCATGCAAGTCCTTCATAGTGGGTAAGCCCTTTACCTGGGCAGGTGCAAATACCATGGGGCTCATCCTTACCCCAAAAACATCCAGAGAAAAAGCAGCCAGCAGCACAACATGAAGACCAACGTGTGTATCCCGCCGGCTGTTTTTTCTCTGCATGTGTCTGCACTTTTACTGGTTACACATGGTTTCCAGCTCTCTTTGTTGGATCAAGAACACCCCCCATGGTATGGCAATGAGGAAAGTGGGGAAGTGTTCTAAAGTCCTGTTCGAAGGTGACAACATGGCACCTCTAGTGAGTGAGTGTTGTCACCCTAGGATAGAAAGTATGTTAGTGGCAGGATCACCAGGTGAAAAGAAAGGAAATAGCCTGAAAAAAGAAAACGAATGCAGCCGCCACATCTAAGCGCCGGTATGCTGCAATTCATTACATTTTTCTGCTTGTGTTTAGATACACAAATGGCTGTGTGTACACTGTGACATTTCTTAGATCTAATGGGCAGCGTCGTGGTGATGTACTTCACTGCCGGTGGCCATCTTGGTAATGGATGCCAGCAAAGAGAGGAGGGATCAGGTATGCCGCTGGGTCCCCCCTCTCTCTTGTGCCAATGTCCATGACCGAGTGCTCAACTTTTAAGAGGGGGTGACACCAAAATGACTGTCATTTTGGTGTCACCTCCTCTGATGGTGTCACCCAGTGCGGGCTGCCCCCTCCTTGTGACGGCGCTGCTAACGAGCTGAGAACACTCTGACAACACCCGGTGAACATTTGAGTGTTCTAGCGATCTGAAACCCTTGTAGGTCACCTTCAGGTGTAACAATTGAACACGAAATATGAAAAAGGAGCAATAAAATGAAATGTTTTAATTCGTTATGCAACTCTCGCTTGCTTTCATGCCTATAGAAAGTGTACGACATGGGAGGAGGCCAGTCAGGCGGCTGCCGATGACCTCCAGAGAGGCCGCTGCAAGGTGGCCACGAGCCACATGTGATACCCAAGCCGCTGGCCGGAGACAACTGATCTAGACACAGAGACAACCAGAGCGTTGGGCGGATTGGGGGGAGCCGAGATGCCTCGAAAAGACATTTCAGCTTCAATGTAACATCAGAAGACAGGTGTCACCCAAAATCTATTCAAAGTGAAGAGTTTGCAGTCATTGGTATGAGTTCTCAGTCCATAGGAGCGGCTTGCGCCGGTCAGTGGTGTAGATAGTCGAAGGACTCGCGCCGTAAGAGGCCCACGACGTCCCTCTTGCCGTAGGTGAAGGAGCCGACGTTGGTGGGCCCGTAGAGGGGGCCGTGGTGGTTGTTGGATCGGACCAGGAAGTCGGCCAGACGTTGCGTGACGCAGGTCGCCGTGTTGCATTTCCTCTTCTCGATCTGGTTCCTGCGGAGGAAAGAAATAAACAGTTTACCAAGAAGTTTTTTTTCCCCCCACCACTTTCCACCCACTTCATCCCTAACAGCTCAGCTATTAAAGTCAGGCGTCGCAGGAGCGGAGAGTCAGACGGTTGTCACGGAACGGCTGACGTGTCAGGAAAGACAAAACGTTTTTTTAGATAAAAACACTTAAAGTTCTCAGAAGTTACTTTACCGACTTGGCGCAGCGATGCCGGGAGTCAGGGATGAGTGTATAATTGTTCCCGACTCTCAGAGAACTCACGCTGACGCCGCTTCCCCCAAAATAAAGTTATTGGTTGTTTTCCCGACGCCGGGGGTTACTAAGGGCGTTCCGATCAGTCTCTGCCCACAGAAGCTTACAATCTAATGCACATATTATATATACCCAGACACACTCATATCTCTACGACTGATCCGCTCTCCAGAGGGGTCAGTGATGGAATAATCTGCAGATTATATCAATAGGTATCTGTCAGGGGGGAGATTGGACGGAGCAATGTTCTGCAGATCTTTAGAGGTCTGTGATGGAACAGTCTGCAGCATATATCAATATGGATCAGTCAGGGGGAAGATGTGACAGAGCGATGTACTGCAGATCTCTAGAGAGGACAGTGATGGGATAATCTGCAGAATATATCAATCTGTTTTTTTCAGCAGAGGAGATTTGTCAGAGCACTGTTCTGCAGATCTCTACAGAGGTCAGTGATTGAATAATCTGTAGAATGTATCAATATGTATCTATCAGGGAGGAGCTGACGTGGAGCGATGCTCTGCAGATCACTAAAAGGATCAGTGATGGAATATATTAATATGAATCTGTCAGGAAGGAAATGGGAAATGGCAATGTCCTGCAGATCTTTAGAGAGGTCAGTGATGGAATACTTTGCCGAATATATCAATATGTATCTCTCACGAAAGAGATAAAATAGAGCAATGTTCTGCAGAAATCTAGAGTGTCAGTAATTGAGTCATCAGCAGAATAAATAAAAATGGATCTGCCAGGTGGTAGCTGTGATGGAGCAATGTCCTGCAGATCTCTGGAGAGGTCAGTGATGGAATGATCTGAAGAATATAGCAATTTGTATCTGTCAGGAGGGGATTGGGATGGAGCAATGTTCTGCAGATCTCTAGAGGTCAGAGATTGAATAATCTGCAGAATATCCCAATAAAGATCTATTGGCGGGTAGATGGGATGTAGCAATGCTCTGCAGATCTTAAGAGAAGTCAGTGATGGAATAATCTCTACAATATACCAATACAGATGTGTCCAGTGGTAGATGGGACAGAGTGATGATCTGCTATCTCTAGAGGGGTCAGTAATGGAATAGTCTGCAGAATCTATCAGTATACATCTGTTAGGTGGTTGATGGGACAGAGTGATGTTCTGCAGCTCTTTAGGGGGGGTCAGTGTTGGAATAGTCTGCAGAATCTATCGGTATAGATCTGTCAGGTGGTAGATGGGATGGAGCAATGTTCTGCAGATCTTTAGAGGGGTCAGTGATGGAATAGTCTGCAGAATCTATCGGTATAGATCTGTCAGGTGGTAGATGGGATAGAGCAATGTTCTGCAGATCTTTAGGGGGGTCAGTGATGGAATAGTCTGCAGAATCTATCGGTATAGATCTGTCCGGTGGTAGATGGGACAGAGTGATGTTTTGCAGATCTCTAGAGGGGTCAGTGATGCAATAGTCTGCAGAATCTATCAGTATAGATCTGTCAGGTGGTAGATGGGATGGAGCAATGTTCTGCAGATCTCTAGAGGGGTCAGTGATGGAATAGTCTGCAGAATCTATCGGTATAGATCTGTCAGGTGGTAGATGGGATGGTTCAATGTTCTGCAGATCTTTAGAGGTCAGCGATGGAATAATCTGCAGAATCTATCAGTAATGATCTTTTAAGGGGTAGATAGAACAGAGTAATGTTCTGCAGATCTCTAGAGGGGTCAGTGATGGAATAGTCTGCAGAATCTATCAGTATACATCTGTCAGGTGGTTGGTAGATGGGACAGAGTGATGTTCTGCAGGTGTATAGAATGTATCAGTCTGTATCTCTTATTATAGGTGGCGGGATGAATGTTTTAGGGAGATTTGTAGTATTATTATTGTGATGAACAGACAATTGATCCGGATTCTGTCACTCGGGTGAATCTTATTATATACGATGAACACAAGACCCGCCGATAAATCACAGCCAGCACCACCGCCGCATATGATGGGAGATAAAAATCTCTTTCGATGGAACATTATTTCTCCTTTTTTTTGTTGTGAACTTTCCCCACCTTCTTACACTCAGACCCCTGTGACCCCGAGTACAGTAAAGCTCTTACCTCTTCTGCCTGGTGGTCACCAGCGGTGACCTCTCATTGGTCGGTGCGATGAGGGTGTGTTTGCTCTGTACTGCAATCGTCCATCCGTTCTCTGACGTCCCGTTGACGGAATCGAAATTTTTCGGTCTAGAAGGAGAAAACATTGTGAGTGTGATCCCAGCACAAGGAAGGGAACCCCTTCCCTCCTCCCCTCCCTGCCCTTCCCCGACTGACCTGACCACGGGGGCCGCGTTCTGACCGCTGGCGGTGACGGACAGAACAATGATCAGAGCCATCAGTCTCAGGTGCTTCATTGTCTCCTCTCGGCGGGCTGCGGGGAGAAATAATGGGAATTAGAGGAGGGGCAGAGACAATGAGGGAAAGGATGCCGCGGAATTCCGTCTAACTCTTCGTGTGTCACAGAGAAAAGTGTGAGAACGTCCTCAATGTGAAGTCTGACATTTAAAGGGACACGAGGGGTGGAGTGGGACGGCTCACCTGGGCGATGGCACTCGGAGAATGTCTTTAGGAAGTGAAATGTTGGCGTCAGTTTGGCCGGTACGGGGTCTGGGATTTCCTTACTTCTGGCATCTGTGGAAGTCTTGTGGCTGACGTCTCGTCTCCGGTTGGCAGCCAGCCGGCTGTTTTATACCCCCTCACACCTGGGGGACGGCTGACGTCACACACACCCATGGACTCCTCACCAGCACAGGGCGGCAGTCATGTGACTCCCAGAGCACCATTCAGCATGCCGGATCTCCCCGAACTGTCATTGGAAAAAGATTGAGAGAGTTTTCTGTACTGTGACAGCTGCCTCGAGTTTATGTGCAACCGGCAGCACTGGTGGGAGGGCGAAGCATGGAATGTATGAAACATCTCGCCCGATATTTCCTGTATTATTATATCGTACAAGGCAGAGGGGGAGCAAATCTATGAAACCTTTATATATATAAATCTTTATATTAACTCTTCATGCCTTATATCGTATATCTATTAACTCTTTATACTCTACATCTATGAAATCTTTATATCCTTATATCTATGAAATCTCTATCTTGTATCATATATAATATGTATACAATCTTTATATTTTTATATCTTATATCTATTAACTCTTTCTACCCTACATCTATGAAATCTTTATATCCTTATATCCATTAACTCTTTATACCTTGTATATATGAAATCCTCATGTCTTATATCTATTAACTCTTTATACCTTACATCTGTGAAATATTAAGTCTTTATAATATATATAAAATCTCTATATCTTGTATCATAGATAATAT